GCTCTTCCGGGAAGAATGACACCAAAGGGGGGCGCGACCGTTCTCCGTCGCTACGACGGATTTCCGTTAATTGCAGCGAGTCTACGACGGATTTCCGTCAATTGGAAAAACTGATGGGAAATTAAACATTTAGCGCATTGTTGTTGCTGTTGTTCTGCCGGCCGGCACACCAAAAATCATCCCCGCCACGGCTGCAGCTTTTCAGTGACAACATAGTGATGCCGCTCGCATCATTAACAGTCGGGTTATTAGCAGAGAACACAGAGTAGAACTTGAATTTCGGTGCGGGATTGCGGCTATTAATAACAATTATACTCATTTCCGCAGGTTCCGCGCTTATAACACAATGACAGATGACGGAATGTATCATTTGCACGTGCTTTTGAGTCTTGAGAACTCACTCACGCACTCTCATTTTCTGTGGGTGACAAGATATCTTTAAAAAGATGCAATCACCCTTCTATTAGGGATTGCTCTTTTAGTGCTGAAGCACGCAGGGGAGCTGGCCAACGCACACTCCTGGTGTGGCTGTCTACACGAAGAGTGATCTTTTTTCCTCTTCCTGTGAGACCGTGACCACCGCTGCTGAGCCGTAACACCCGCAATCACTCGTGTAGTGTAGTGTACCGCAGTAGTGATGCAGTAGTGATGCAGCACCGCTCGGCACCAAAGTGAAAAGATGAATGAATGCGGTGCACCTGCTGCGGGGTGTGGCAACCAGATGCGAATTCCGCATTCCAATGTTATTTGGCTGGTTTAGTTACACTCGAAGTGGATCGGTCTCTCTAGATCCCCAAATTCGTCGGTCACCGACGTGACGTCGAGAGTGACCGACTGAAAGAGAACAAACTCATCTACATTTTCAGCAAATGTGACCCTGGAGCACAAAACCAGTTATAAGTAGCACGGGTGTATTTGTAGCAATAGCCAACAATACACTGAATGGGTCAAAATTATCTATTTTTCTTTTATACCAAAAATCATTAGGATATTAAATAAAAATCATGTTTTCATACAAACACTTGATTTGCAAGTTCAAATAGAAATAACATTGATATAAACATGAGTTTTAAAGGGGTCATATGATGCGATTTCAAGTTTTCCTTTCTCTTTGGAGTGTTACAAGTTGATTGTGCATAGATAAGATCCCTGAAGTTGCAAAGACTAAAGTCTCAAAACCAAAGAGATATTCTTTATCAAAGTTAAGACTCTGCCACGCCCCCCTAAAACGGCTCGTTCTAACACGCCCCCACATATCTACCTCACTATGTGGAAATATTAGCATAATGCGCCCAAATGTGCACGCAAAGAAAGAAGGCATGGTTTCAGTAACCGCAGTTAGTGTGTTTCTAGGCGAAAGCAAAAGCACTTTATTTGGCCTTCCAGAAGTAGATGCATTTAGGAATCTTTAAGATTACTTACAACAGAACAGCAATGCATTTTATGGACGACCGTTTCATGAACCTAGGAGAGGAGATAATTCTGACTTTGCTATGACAATCTGGCGCTTCTATATCAGCTACTGTTTTGTTATTAGTTTAAGTATTTGCGATTGACTGTTCAAATGCGGAGTTTTGCGCATCATGTGTGCGCGCGCGTGAGAGAGAGAGAGAGAGAGAGACAGCGTCACATCACAGTAGAGTCAGCTGTCTTAACCGCGGCTTGTGTACTGCATCATCACTGTGTCTGTCACGCGACTCTGTTCCCCTTTCGGGCTCTGTCTTTACATTTATTTTGAAAGATGAAGCTCGCAATTATGGTAAGGGGCCTTACATTTCCGAGGAGTGCTTGCGGTGTTCGGCCAATCACAATGCACTGGGTCAGCTGGCCAATCAGAGCAGACTGCGCTTGTCGGAAGGAGGGACTTTGTAGAAAACGAAGCGTTTGAGAGAGGCGGGGCATAGAGGACCTACAATAATGTACAGTATTTGAAAAATAATGTGTTTTTTGAACATTAAAGCATGTCAACATATTCTGTTACACCAAATACACCAAATAATGATCTTTAAAAAAGCATCATATGACCCCTTTAATTGAATGCAGCCTAAGAGTGTTTATTTTGTCCAGAAACAGTACCCTGAACTAAAGTTGAACCTTCTAGAGACGTCTTGTGGACGTCAATATTGGACGCTCTGAAGACGTCATAAAAAGACGTCATAAAAACTTTCATTTTGGCTCCTCAGGGGACGTCATTTCAGCATGCAACAAAGACATTGAAAAGACGTCTTTTGGACGTACTTTTGGGTGTGTGGGCCTTACAAGACATTGTGCCCAGGGGCCTCTGAATTGTTAATATGGGCCTGCATTTAATGGGTTTTATTATTAACATTTGTGTATTTTCATTGTTCTTTTGTGTTTTATAGCAGTTTATTTTAATGTCTCAATGAAAGTTCATTTTGAATACAGTTTGTTAAGGTGTTACCTGCAGAAATGCTGATGTTGCTGTCTGACTTGTTTAAACACACTCATGTGATCATAAACTCCACCCTCTTACAGCTCTTACCAGGAAGAGACTGACGTGTTATTTCTGCTTTCTGTCACACTGACTCTCTTCTCTACTGACAAAAGCAATAAAGAACCAGCCATCAGTGAAGAACCAAGAGAAACACTTTACAGAAGGATCTTTGTGAAGGTTGTTTCTGAATAGATAGCAGATCTTTGTGATTCTCGTGGTGATTCATTTTTCAAACCGTCATTCAGAAAGTGAAAGTAAAGTTTAGATCGCTGGAGCACAAAGAGTGAAAATGGCTTCTCTATCTGAAGATGATTTTTCTTGTCCTGTATGTCAGGAAATCTTCAAGAATCCTGTTGTTTTATCATGTAGTCACAGTTTCTGTAAAGAGTGTCTTCAGCAGTTCTGGAGAACCAAGAAAACTCAGGAGTGTCCCGTCTGCAGGAGAAGATCCTCAAAAGAACAGCCTCCAGTTA